GGCGGTGAGAGCCCCGGAGAGCCCCCGGGAGCGCCGGGCCGGCTGTCCCCGCGACCCAGCGCTGCTCCCAGCGCCCTGGCAGGGCCGCGGTGCCCTCTGGCGCTAGGAGTCGGGCAGGGCTTGGCTGGGGCTGCGGGCGTGACTGGGCGATATCGGCCAGGGCACTCTGGATCTTCTCCAGCAGCATATCCCCGCGGTACACCACCTCCTCCAGCCGGGCAGCTGCCTCGTGGTTTTCTTCTTCCAGTCGATACAGACTAGCAGTCTTGAAAATGAAAGGGGGAAAAAGTGAGGATCTTCAGTAGAACATAAAACTGACTTTGCTGCTCAAAGATGATGATGGAACAGTTTGTACTCTCTAGAAAAGATTATCTTTTAGCCTCTGAATTACTTACTAGCAACTTCAAAGCAACTTGTTACAGCTTGGAGCCTAAAGCAGTGCAAATCCACATGGAATAAACACCACAAAAACCTAAACAGGGATGTCAGCTGCTTTCATGTTTTGACCCTTAGTTCAGTATAGTTTTTCTGGTGTTAGGTCATAGGTTGGACTTGATGATCTCAGAGGTCTTTTCCAATCGGATTGATCCTTTGATTCTTAGGAGGAGTATTTATTTATCCCCTTCCCCATTTCCTTACCAAAAGGTGCTCAGCAAGATGCAAGCAGAACTTATTTAAACCTTCATTTTAAAATTTTTACCAAGATTAAAATGACAAAAGCTTGTTCTAACTGGATAACAGAAAAGGCAAAGCAAAATAGTTTCAATTTGATATATTTTTTTATTTAAATTGATATCTATTGTGGAAGTAGTTATACAGGTCCTTAAGCCCTGCTTAAGTCAACTGGCAAGTTCTACCCACATGTTCACCTTCTATTCTACAACACTGGTGTCTTCAGTGAAGGCTAATACAGGAGTGAAGGACTTGAGAGCGCTTGGAGGAAAGATCAGAGAACGAAGGTGGCAAAACATAAAAGACTGACATTTAGATTTCAGCTCAATTACTTCAGTCTCACTTGTTAAACGTTTGACTGCAACTAAGACACAGATTAGAGCAGAATGTGTAACATCAACTTCACTGAAAGGGAACACAAAAGGGGCAGGTAATTGTGCTGGGCATTAGTGCAACAGCTCCTTTATCATTTAAGACAAGCCCTTGAAACACAGACCAAGACAACCTTAGTATAAACAAAATAGATCTGCCTAAATACATCTCTGTTAAGTATTTATCTACCACTTCTCAACAAAGCCTGTAATACCTATTTTAGAGTGTTTCAAGCACCTTAAAATCAGGTTTTTTTTCAGGAACGTCAGAATATTTATCTTTAATACTGCACCAAATTAAACAAGACAGTAAAGGCTAAAACTGGAATCAGTCTGCTAACTTATCTTAAAATCACACCAGTAAAAAAAAGATCAGGAATTCTTGTGACATGAAATTGTGCTTTGAGAGCAAGAAACTGTTCAAGTTGCTTTAAGGAAAGCATATCCCTACTGGATAACCAGCTCCTCCTTCTGGAGCACCTTGCTCTCCCTGCACCAGCTGTGCCTGTGATCGGCCCCTGCTCAGTCATGGAAGAAGCCTGGAATTTGCTGTCCTTATGCAGTTACACAGAGTTATGCTGGTGTTAACAAGCCCAATTAGTATGTTCAGGAATTACTGTGACTAGTAACATTTCCAAATTTAATCTCCTCACCTGATGTCCCTGCCAAGTCGTTTCTATTTGGCCTATCTAGTATTAATCTTTAGTAAAACACCTTCAGGAAAGTGTTGGCTCTGCAGCTACAAAACGTCATGTGAGAGAACAGGAAAGATTACCCAAGAAAATAAACAAAACAACCCACAAAGCATCAGTGTTGTTGCATATGTTCTATCAATATTTGAACAGTTGATGGGGGAAAAAGGGTGAGCAGTTTCTAGCATTGTGGTGTGATAAAAACACTTTTTTAAAACATTCTAGCAGAAAACTAAGCTTAAAATATTCTCACTCAGTATAACCCTATCTAGAACTAGACGAATGTTTCCACTAAGCCTCTGAAGTACCCACAGGTTACCCTCAGGAAAAATTCAGGCTTGTGTTAAAATAATTTTTCAAGATTGAATGGCATAGAAACTAAAAAGTGTGTTTAAACCATAAAAAAGTAAGAGGTTTACCTTCAGGAATGTTTTGATATCTGAATTAGGAACACTCTTACCTGCAGAGCTGCTGTGGATTCTTCACTGGGCAGAGAATCGATGAGGACATCGATGTCCTTCGCAGTCCGAGCGATCAGTGCTGCAAACAGCTGAGCATACTCTGCAGAGAGCAGAAGAGAAGTCAGGCTGCTCAGGAAATTATCAGAAACAAGCACAATTCTGCATGCACAGCACAGGAAATGCTACAGACTTGAAGTATGCAGGTGATAAAAATTCTCCTATGTGAAGGGAACTACAAGGCAACTTGACCACATTAGAATCACTGGCTGGTTTGGCTTGGAAGGGACCTTAAAGATCATCTAGTTCCAGCCCCTGCCATGGGCACGGACGCCTTCCACTAGCCCAGGCTGCTCAGAGCTTCATCCAACCTGGCCTTGAACACTGCCAGATATGGAGCAGCCACAGCTTCTCTGGGCAACCTGTGCCAGTGCCTCAGCACCCTCACAGGGAAGAATTTCTTCCTAATATCCAATCTAAACCTGCTCTCTGTCAGTTTGAAGCCATTCCCTCTTGTCCTGTCACTCCAGGCCTTTGCAAACAGTCTCTCTCCATCTTTCCTGTAGGCTCTCTTCAGAAGATGAAGGCAGTTTGATTCCAATTCTAGATTAAACCAGGTAACTGTTGTTTGTACAAATGAGAAAATAGCTACAACTCCATCACCTCTAGCCAGGTAAGCAATTACTAGTACCAGCATTGTGTCTTAATCGCTACATTAAATGCTGAGAAGTAGCTAGAAACTCATTTAACCTTTCAATCCCTGCCCCAAAATCTGCCACTATGAAAAAAACCAACAGAAACAACATAAAGATGGTGATTCAAACAGACATTTTAAATCATGGTAAACAACAGATCATTAATGAAAGAATTTGAGGGGTTTTAAATTAAAAGAATTCCTCTTCACCTGCAGAAAAAAAATTGCCCCTGAGAAGTGGAAAAGGATTAGAAGTTTATAACAGAGCTTAATTTAGCTGCTGTATCATTGAAAGAACTTTGAATAAGACCCACTCAGGGTGAACACAGACTCAGGGTCACCACAGGGTTTACCTGTAACAAGTTTCGAGGCCTTATTAAGGTCTTTTATAAAAACACATAAAAACAAAAATTCAAATTAAATACTAACTTGAAATTCTTTTAGTTTGCTTGGCACTTTCAGTGTCTGTAATGGTTTCAGCTGGGATAGAGTAAAGTTTCTCCTTTTCAGCTGGTACAGTGCTGTTTTGGATTCAGTGTTAGAATAACACTGATAACACACTCATGTTTTGGTTGCTGCTGAGCAGTGCTTGCTCTCAATCAAGGCCTTTTCAGTTTCTCATGCTCTGCCAGGGAGCAGGTGGACAAAAAGCTGAGATGGAGCATGGCCAGGACAGCTGACCCAAGCTGGGCAAAGGGAATTAGCAGAATGCTATGCAGTGTATAAACTGGGGGGGCTTGGCCAGGAGCTGCTAATCTCTGCTCAGGGATGGGATAGGCATCTGTCAGTGGGTGGTGAGCAA